AAATGCTGCCCCAAATCCATGATCGTTGCTGCACCCAAAGAGCCAAATGTGCTTATGTTAGGGTTGTTTTATGTTTTTAAAGGCAGAAGGAGAGGAAACTGCATCTAAATTACAAAGCATTTAATTAACATTTCTTGAAAGAAATTAAATTGGGTTGAGCAATTTGGTTAACATATTTTAGTAGAAAACTGTGATTTAAACATCAGGAAATGAAAAGTTCTGCTAAATGGAGCCTACACTCACTGCCTTAGCTGAATGACTAATAGGTCCCTTCATCTAATAAGTATGAAAGGAGTAGAGCTCATATTGGTTTTCTTTCTATATGAATTGTGTTGCATGATATATTTAAACAATATTCTTTAAGAGAAAGTTTCCCAGAAGTTTTAGATGAAACAAAGGAGAGACAAAAACATAAAGTATAGAGGAGCAATATAATGAAGAAAGTAGATTTCAGATCTTTTTTCAGAATGAATATACCATCTATAACATTTTTGCTTGTTTCTTTTTCTTCCTTCTTTCTTTCCTTCCTATCTTTTCTTTTTGGTGTACAAAAGAATTCATTTTCTTTTCTTTCATTCTCAGGAGTTTTAGGGGTAAATATCAACAGATTCTCTAGGAGAATTGTATTCTAAAGGCAAAATATTCTTGGTCAAGTGCTAAATAGAGCGATACCATTTTCTCTGAAATGAAGCAGATGAAAATTGTACCAGTGCTGCTGGCAGCAAAAACATAACATTCCATGTACATTATTATCACATTAAAACATCCTTTAGAAAGTTTGCACATGAATAAGGGGTTGCTCTAACTTGCAGATTACCCTTCAGAAAAATTTAATATGGCACTGAACAACAAAACAAAGGACACTCATGGGGCTTTATTTACTTAAGAAAAGGGCAGAGGGGCGAAAGCGCCCTGCAAGAGTTTTTCAAAGAGTACCTTATATTTCTCCTTTAGACCCTTAGCATGTTCAAAACTCTGTAATGTTAAATGGAATTAAATAATCTATAAACGCATGCACTTTTATTTTTCACTGAATGTAATTTCCATAAAAATCTATGTAAGAAAATTAGCAGCTACCTCATTTTTAAAAAAGTTAGGGTTGCCAGACTTGCCTGACCATGCTTTATGACTCAGCATAAGAGCAGCTGTGCATGTTTTTATTTTACTGCCAATGGATGGGCAAGGAATGTAGCTGAGTAACATGCAGGCCAGTCAAAATTCATTTAGAAACTAATTATATTTATATATGTACAATTTGCTTAGGTAACCTGGGTAAAAGTGGTGGCAGGAGTCTCTGGCTGGTTAAAAAGCACCAGAGCTGCATTCTTGATGGCTCCAGCTTGCTTTTACCCCTGTGAGAAGTAAGAACGGTAAGCAGTGAAGGTCACCACATTGCATTAGTAAATGTTACTTTGAAAAATAATCATTCAAGCATGGCTTAAGTTATTAAAACTCTATAAAAGAAATCAAGCATTTGAAATCAAAAGTATGAAAGGAATGACATTACATATGGTCACAGTAACTTTAGTTAAAGCATACAATTACCATATGAATTTAAAATGATATACTCCAGAGAATCTACAGAAAGCTGTCAAAGAATCACACAAATTTGGCAAAGATAAAATAGAAGAGGATTTAGTTCAAACACCTAAATAACCTTTGTGTCCACTTGGTTAGTCTGCCTTATAAGAAGCGATTCATTACAGGCATTCCAAAAATTAAAAGGTGCTTCATTTTTTTCCTTTAATATTTCAAATCATTTAAAAAGGATATCATTCAGTATGAATCATTCAGTATGATATCTTATTCCATTTGTTAATACTTCACATGTGATATTGAATACCACAATCCAACCCTACCAATTAAGAAAATGACCAGACAAAACTAACTTGAAGGCATAACCCTAAAAAGATATATCAGGTGGGAATATTTGTAATTCTTGAATACTTGTTTCAGTTCTCTTTTGTTTTCTAGTGTAGCGTTACCAAAATGCCAGAAGATTGGAACTTGAACATAGGCCCTTCCTAGACTATTGCTCTAATCCTTTATTTGTTTATGAGTTTATATTTAAGAAGTTTTACATAAAGCCATAAATGAAAATTTTACCAAATGATATATTTTAAAACACAAGTAGCAATCTCTACACAAGTACTGAAAAGACTCCACAGCTAAAACAACAAAATAATTCTACTTTCAACTGGCAGACCAGCTCTCTGCCTCCCATTCCAAAGCAGTGACTTCACATGTGTTATTTTGGAATACCTCACTCAAATGGAAAACACATGAAAAAGTCTAATGTTTACAAGAGAAACTGAGAAGAGAGTTTTTATTTTTCCTACTATAAGCCCCACCTTACTAGATATTTCTCTAATGTGAAACACAATGGTTGGAGATGAGGCAAAATACATGCTCTTTGAGAAGTTTGAGGTTTTAAAATTTCTGAAAATTAAGAATAGCGAATGTCAAGTTATCCTACCTCAAAAGATACTCAAACTTAGCCAAAGGTTTAAATGGACTGGTGACTTCAATGTTTGATTCATCATAATTCATTTTTAATTAACACCATAAATTAAACATGTGCTGTGCTGTGCTGTGCCTAGTTGCTCAGTCATATCCAACTCTGTGACCCCATGGACTATAGCCCACTAGGCTTCTCTGTCCATGGGGATTCCTCAGGCAAGAATACTGGAGTGGGTTGCCATGTCCTCCTCCAGGGGATCTTCCCAACCCAGGGATTGAACCCAGGTCTCCCACACAGCAGGTGGATTCTTTATCATCTGAACTACCAGGGAAGCCCAAGAATACTGGAGTGGGTAGTCTATCCCTTCTCCAGGGGATCTTCCCAATCAGGAATTGAACTGGGGTCTCCTGCATTTCAGGCAGATTCTTTGCCAGCTGAACTAAATTAAAGATACATTAAAAATAAAAATTGACCTCCCTTATTCTAAAGGAGATATTTACTATTAGGTAAAATAATGAGGGGACTACATATTAAAATTTAATGACCCAATTCTATTTTCTAAATGCTGACCTTAGTGTCTGGGCTTCCCTGATGACTCAGATGGTAAAGAATCTGCATGCAATGCAGGAGACCTGTGTTCCACCCCTGGTTGGGGAAGATCCCCTGGAGAAGGGAATGGCTACACACTACAGTATTCTTGCCTGGAGAACTCCATGGACAGAGGAACCTGGCAGGGAAGTCCATGGGGTCACAAAGAGTCAGACACTAAGTGACTAACCCTTAGTTTCTAGAAACTTACAAGAAATTAGGCCCCACCATTTCAGCATAGCCCAGCCAAATACACCTATCCAAAATTTAATTAACTAGATATGAAGATATTATTCAGCTTTAAAATAATGATCTTATTAGTGTACATTTGAGTTCAACTAATTACAGCAATTATTTGCTCCAGGCTATAAGGTTTTTTAAATTTCCCCCTTGAATCTCATTCTTATTTTGTGACAATTCTAGTCACAAAAGTAATACTAGGTATTACCTGGAGAAGGCAATAGCAACCCACTCCAGTACTCTTGCCTGGAAAATCCCATGGAAGGAGAAGCCTGGTGGGCTGCAGTCCATGGCGTCGTGAAAAGTCGGACACGACTGAGCGACCTCACTTTCACTTTTCCCTTTCCTGCATTGGAGAAGGAAATGGCAACCTAGTCCAGTGTTCTTGCCTGGAGAATCCCAGGGACGGGGAGCATGGTGGGCTGCCATCTATGGGTGTTGCACAGAGTCAGACACGACTGAAGTGACTTAGCAGCAGCAGCATGACCTTGCTACCTAAATGTTACTTTCAGTAATTATATTTAAACTTTCTCTGAAGTTAATGTTTAATACCTACTTCTACCTAATCCCTGAATTAGCAATACTATCTTACAAATAAGAACAAACAGAAATAGCATCTTTTCCCATTACTATATAGGATAAATACAGTAAAACTGATTAAAAAATCTAAGGTTCCTTTCTTAGAAATACATTTTTGCTCTAATTTTATTAACTGATCCCTAATTTTTGTGATACTGTTTCACTACTTAAATTACATCCTTCAGTGTCTCCAACTTTCCCAACTCACCATTCTTAGGATGAGAATAATAATAGAGGTCTTTCTGTTTCCTGCCAATCAATTAAAATGACAACAAAGAATGAATCTTTGTTTTTGGTTGTTATTTTTATTTGTTTATGCAAGTGTTAATTGCTAGGAATTCTGGCTTCATTTCTGTGTAAACAAACATTAAGGGTTTAAATTCCTTCTCTTTATTCCCAACATGTGCTTATTAATCTATAAATAAACCAAGAATATACCCTGATATTTATATTCTTCTGGTAAATCAAAGAATTCTTTAAATTACCAAGAGTCTTACTGTAGTTGGAAAATTTAGAATTTTACATTTAGACAGCATGCACTGTGCTCAGTAGGGTCAAAGATATTTTCAACCTGATTCTTCATCACTACCTTCATGTCCTTCAAACAACTGTTTACTTCAGGAAACATGAAACTACAAGTAAATATCAAGCCAAGATCCCAATGATATTTCCATTAAAAATATGCCTGTGAAAACTAAATAAAATCACATTTTATGTTATTCCATAAGAGCAAAGAATGTAGCAAAATGAGGATTGGAATTGCCCCTCACCAAGCATTTTTCTAGTATACACAATAAAATACCATCATGGGAAAATTATAAGGAAGAAAGTAGATAAACTGAGGCAATTTTCACAAATAAAAAATGATTTTAAATCTTTTTTAAAATTTATATTAACCTGAATATTAATCTCATCAGCAACTCAGAATGGTGACTACTTGAAAGAATGAGTTAACTATCATTTACTTAGTTATATACTATTATATTGTCAATTTATCTATCACCAATTTTGCCACAGAGATTGTGTCAATAGGTATTTCCTATTTTCTTATAGAAAGAAAATAATTTTTAAAAGTCTGGATGGTTTAAAGCAAACATAATACCAAAATATCTTCTTATGTAGAAATTCCTACCTCTTTGCTTTCTTCCATATCTGACTCGCTGCTGAATTCTTCAGTATTTAAATTTTCAAAGTCAGACTCTCCGACAGCAATTGGTACAGTCACAGTGAGGCTGGGGTTGTTTATGAAGGACATGTAATCACTTTCATCCACGACATATTTCTCTACACTGCTGCCTATGCCACTGGTAGTTCCATTGCCATCTTTGAGATAATTGAGGTCTTTGCCTATTTCTATAGTGGTATGGTTGGAAATACAGCTGTCTTTTTTGTTATTTAGATCTTCAAGAGGTTTTATTTCATCTAAAGCTTTCTGCTTTCTAACAAAGGCTTTCTGAATAAATTCACGTATTTTTCTCTTAACAAAATCGATTCCTTTCTGCATCCTTCCCACAGCAATCTGGAGATTATTCATTTCATTATCATCATCAGTGGCGGCAAGATTGTCAGAACTGAATGAACTCAAGAGTAAGGCCAGGAAGAGGTTCAGAACCTAAAACACAATAGGAAAGCTGGTGATCAAAACATTCCATTGTTTCTATTGCTCTGAACTACAAATTTTCCAAAGTTGTTCTTACATCTCACTTTTTGCTAATAGATATTCTTTCTAATTTATGATAAGCTATCCTGGAAAAAAAAAACCCAGCCAATAATACTAAATTAACACTATTTACATTTTAGTCATTGCAAGATTACTAAAACCACTGCTTTGTAAAACTTCTATATTAAGTTCAATCCCAAATGAAAAATTTTAGCTATCTAGATAACTATACAATGAAAAAGAAAAAAAAAAGTTTTTATTTGGGATGTTAAGTATTTTCCCCATGTAACATGGGTTTTCCAGGACACTGATAATTTATTATACTTTTATTCCTGAACCAAAGATGATTCCACTATATTTAAATATTATTTTATTTTTATGTTTGTACCTATTCTTGCACTTTAGATAATTTGTCAATTTAGAAAAAATATATACCTACCAACAGATCAAAAATCTCAGTTTTTGGTTCAGAAAATCATGGCCACTAGATTTATACAGTAGTTGGAAATAGTATAAAGAAATGGTTACAGACCACTAATTAGTCTAACAACTTAAGTCTTCAAAAATAGGACCCACAGATATGGGTTAGCAAAAAGATTAGTGACCATAAATCTGCTATGTACACTCAAAAAGAGGTAATTTACTAAGAAATAGAGCACTCTCATGGGCATAAGACCAAGTATATGAGTCCTTGATCATTCAAACAGACAGAACAATGACAAAAAGGATATGGCTCTGAAGGGGTCCAAAGACAAAAAGTAAATAGTACAGAAGAGGAATCCTAGGAAAGGTTTTAAGTAGAACTCCAATGAAAAGGATGCTGCATTCTTGCTATATTCCTATCTTTCTAATCGGTTAATGAGCCTCAGAGTGCCTTTGTCTAACCAGTTATGAGTCAGTCTAACCAATGGTGTTCAGAAAGGCGAAAACCTATAAGACCCAACAAGGACTACACATAATTCTGTGAGTCTATACCGACATCTTTCAGTTACCATACCATGGTTGCTAGTATTTGTACAAAGACCTGCTCCTTCACATCTGAAATTTACCAATAAAGTTGTATTTTATTGTGATTTGCCTTGAATGTATTATTTGGATAAAAATAGATGAAAGAGAAAAAATTAAATACTACATTTTGAGTTTTATCCATAATAAAACTGAATTTTGGTACCATACTTTTTTCTAGATTTGAGTTATTAATTCATTAATGAACTTTTTCTATTAGGAACTTTTTCTTGACAAATATTAGTCAACCTTCCCAGAGTGAGATCCGACTATAGTTCCTCTCAAAGCACTGGAGCAGGTATCTATTACATGTCATTACATTTACTTATGTAATGTAATTTTTCACATTAAAATTAAAGCACTGGGTAAGAATCAAGTTTATGTCAATTTTCTCAGTGCTAAGCTTACAAGACTGTTCTCAGGAGTCAGTTAAAGGATCCATGTGGCCCTCACAAAGCTACTGGCACATGGTAAAGTGCCAGTTTGAGAAAGTTTAGCTGTTATATCACTGTTACTATGATCCAACCTAGTCTCTGTTGTACTGTCTTCAATTTGTCTTTTTTTGTTTGTTTGTTTTCAATTTAATCTCTTTTTCTAGACCTCCTTTATTACCAAAGGGTATTGATCAGCATAACAGCTGACCAAGGTGGTGGGGGTGACCAAAGGCAATTTAAAGGAATACAGTTCAACAACCTTACTCAGGAACTTAAACCTGGGATCCTGTTTCACACATGGTCATGGACAGACTTGATAGCTCACTGAGTGAAACTGTTTCTTTCATATGTCCCCAGATCATTCTCTTGGAATAATAATTTCCATTTGGGATTCAAGATTGAAACATATTGTCTGTATCAATACTTTTTCTAGCCTGATTTTTAATTGGTGAGAAAAGCTCATTTTCACATCCCTCTTGTGTGCTAATGCCCCACTTAGAGATAGAGGTGGCTACTTCTAGATGTGGTAATCTTAAAAAAAAAATGTATCCTCTTTCAGCAGCACATATCTTGAACCTGTAAGAGGATTTCTGGCCATAGTGTTAACAAACCAAGATGATAGCATGGGAAAAGCAATCTACAGCCCCACCTCTGTCTTGTGTGTGGACTAGGCAGTGATTACTTACACCTCTTGTGGTCAAGCATTACATGGAAGTTTATGTGTGTTTACAGGAGGTTATGCCAGCTTGTCTTTGGGGGATATTAACCTTTTTGGTGAAGATGAGAAGGAAGAATTGTAAAAGTAGTGCACCAGGTTCAGTCAATCTTATTTAAGGAAATGTGATATGAACATATTTCCTTAATAGTGATAAACATGACAGATATGATTACCAACTTAGTTACTCCAGAAAACATATACAAGATATCACAAAAGAAGGAATACTTTTTAACTTCTAGTAAATCAGGAGATTCTTTAATTTTTTTAAAAAGGTACAGAATTTAAATATATGCCACTAGGTGGAAATTATTATTTTATCTATTATACCATTTTATGTATATGTAGCAATCCAAATTAATATAAATGACATCCATAGGTATGAATACTTCCTGAAATTCTCTTTTCAACTTGAAATCCTTTGTACAGTTAGAGAGATGTGTCCTATTTCAGTAAACTAAAGATGATATGTGGTGTGTTGAATTTCTGTTAAATTCACTGTGTTTTCTGGCTACATAAATTCTACCCAAATTCCACTTGCTCACTGCCACTTTCCTGATAAAAAGACATCTGTAGCTTTCAACTGTCTACAGGAAAAAAATATTCAACTTGGTAATGCATAATCAGCCTTTCACAAATTAAACTCTACACAGTCTGGCCTCAAACACTTTCTGCTACCCCCACTATGAATTTTCATTGCTTGTGTCCAGTCTTCTCACGCATTGCTGGCATAAAGGATTCTGTTCTCTGCCTTCTATTCTCTTCTTCCAATGTATGCCAAACATATAAATGAAATCAAATCAAATCTAAAATACAAACCAACAACATTTTCTCTGTTTTTCTTCTAGGTAGCCCTGTGATCGTTTCTTCCTATTCCATGCATTTTTGCATCTTCTGAAAGCAAGCAAGTTATATCTGGAATTGTAGTGGTTTTAAAATTATTTGATGCTCATCCCTTCAAAAGTTAAAGTCTAATCCCTTTTTCTTAAATGTGAGCTCTTTTTAATGACTAGTCAACAGAATATTGCAGAGGTGACAACATGTGACTTCAAGAGTAGAACATAAAAAGAGTTTCCTCCTTGCCCTTTGCTTTGTGTCTTGTGCTCTGGCAGAAAAAGCCAACTGCCATGTCATGAAGGTAATCAACTCTATGGCAAGGTCCACGTGGAGAAGCTGAAGCCTTCTACCAACAGCCAGTAAGGCTGAACTGGGACCTCTCACCAATAGCCATGAGAATGAGCCTTATTAGAAGTCAATTCTTCAATCTTAGTCAAGATAACTGTCTTCCATCAACATTTTGATAGAAATCTTTTAACTAACCCAGGGCCAGAACCAGATAAGTGGTTCCCAAATTTCTGACCTACAGAAACTATGAGATAATTAATAAATGTGTATTGTTATAAGCCACTGTTCACATTTCTGGATTGTACACTATTCATGTTTCTTGTTATTTTAAGAACAGGTCAGAATTAACAACAGGATACTGAGAAGACTGAAATATTGCAAAAAATAGAAATAAATGATATTTTTTTGTTTTTTCCCTTTTCCTTTTCTCTTCCTCTGGGGGACTGAGCCAATCAGTCCACCCTAAAGGAAATCAGTCCTGAATATTCATTGGAAGGACTGATACTGAAGCTGAAACTCCAATACTTTGGTCACCTGATGTGAAGAACTGACTCATCTGAAAAGATCCTGATGCTGGGGAAGACTGAAGGTAGAAGGAGAAGGGGATGACAGAGGATGAGATGGTTGGATGGCATCACTAACTTGATGGACATGAGTTTGAGTAAGCTCTGGGAGTTGGTGATGGACAGGGAAGCTTGGCGTGCTGCAGTCCATGGGGGTGCAAACAGCTGGACATGACTGAGCCACTGAAATGAACTGACTGGGGGATTGGAGGTTACTTTTAATGTGAAAGAAAATGAAGTCTATAAATTGCAGACTTCAAAATATTGGTTACAATAGTCCTTGTTGTATTCCACTGAGTTGGGGCCTGGTCAAGCAACTTAGTATAATAAATTTAACATATAAGAGTCTGATCCCTCTCACATAAATCTATTGTCCTTTCTTCCTCAACCACTGGGTCCACTATTTCCTGGCTTGGGATGGTCTACTTTCTTCTCACATCTCAATTAAAGATATTTGCAGGTCTGAACTCTTTGACAAAGCCTTCTGTGATGATCCTTGCAAGTGCAAAGCAACATTTCCATCTTGTGAACTTTACATATAACACTTTGCTTTCACATTTTTTTCACTTACTCTTTTTATTCCTATTTGAGTAAATGTCCTATCATTGCGCCATATATATTGTCCTACCATCAATCCCAGGCCTCCAGGACTCAGTAGACGTGTGTTGGGCATAGTTCATTTTACACAGAAATGATAACAAATGATTCTTGAGTTAGTGTTACTTGTTCATATTGTTGTTTCTATGCAACAAATACTGATGTACTTTCAATGGACTGAGATGATCATTATTTTTTTCTTAAACTCCAACTTGTAGAGAACCCAAATGCGAAACATTTTCAAGTGACAGTATTGTTAGTATTTATAAATAAAATGAATGACTGTCTAATAGCACTGCCATGCTTTAGCACAAGAACTTAAAGATGAAAGCCAAAAATGGCCCTCTCCATGGAACAGTAAGGGGTACAGAGATGAAGAACAACTTTGGTTCAAAAGGTATTTTAAGAGTTTGTGTTATGTGCCAATTACAGTTCAATATAGCTGGAAAAAATCTAAAATAATGTAAGCAAATATTAAAAAGAGTTCATGCAGATTTCTTTAGTCTGATCTATAACTGACTCCTGCCATCATGAAGAATTGAAACTTGATTAAAAAAAAATATACAAAACATTCCTGATGGTTACATTATCTTTTACTGAAAATGAGAAAAATGTTTTACCACATACCACCAGGTTTCCAATGACCATGACCATCATGAAGACAGTGAGGCACATGGTTTGACCGGCGACCTCCATGCAGTCCCACATGGTCTCTATCCACTCTCCACACAGCACCCGGAACACAATCAGGAAGGAGTGGAAGAAGTCATGCATGTGCCAGCGGGGAAGCTCACAATCATTGGAAATCTTGCAGACACATTCTTTGTAGCTCTTACCAAAGAGCTGCATGCCGACCACGGCAAAAATGAAGACGATGATGGCCAACACCAAGGTGAGGTTACCCAGAGCCCCTACAGAATTGCCGATGATTTTAATTAGCATATTCAGGGTGGGCCAGGATTTTGCCAACTTGAAAACTCTAAGCTGAAAACAGAAACAAGGTCATTACTGCTCTGCATTTGGAAGAATTTGTATATTTATTTACAGGTGAAGTCTACAATGTCTCAGTTTTAGGTGATGGGTTATTTGTGTGCCAAACTGTTGTCTATATTTTTCATTCTGAAATAGTATATATTATAAATAAAATAAGAATACAGTTTTTTTAATTGGCATTTAAATTCCAGAATCTTACATAAGCATTTATACTATTCTTTTTGTTTTTCTGTAAGGAACTGAAATACCTAAAATTAATGGTGATTAAATTCGCAGAAACTGCTTCAGAGAAGTAGAGGCTCTAGTAGAGTCTCTCATTATTTAAAAGCCTGAAGTGGATATATTTTTCAGTGTACCTGAAATATGCTGAAATGCACAAGTGTAAACAACATTAACACTTCAATTAGGGAAGATACAAAGGAAAAACCAACTAATTTCTTTAAATCTTAGACTGCTTTGACCTTTAGCATGTTGTAATATTAGGCTGTATTTTAAAGGAGATTTATTATATTCAAATAAGAAATACTTGAACTTGAATAAAAAGCTGTATTTTGTCAACCTTTATGTCTTCAGTGATTTACTTAATCAGCTCATTATAGTGCGTAAATGGCTTGCCACCTCTATGCCTGATACATTGGTTGTATTAGCTCATAGAAACCTCTAGAGTACGATTTACCCTTAAACAGTATCAGCATTTTATTTCTGATGCTTCTGTAAATATCAGGCTAAGAGTAGTGCATTATTTAATGGCAACTAAGTGACCCAAAGGAGCAAAGATAAGAACCAAAATTTTTAATTTATTCCCAGAGAACAATTAATGCAAAAGAGCCTGATATACTAAGAAAGACATTAGTGATATTATGCTTTGTACTTTCCTAGACTCCATCACATTATCATAAAGACTTACTAAGCTTTTTAAAAGTAGTTAACCATATTTACTTGTTATATAATCACTGCTAATTTTTTTTCTTTTATTCTTCTAACTTCAAATTAGATCCACAGCTAAAGACTAGGAAAGGAAATCACAGCTCTAAGGATCTTAACAAATATTTGAAAGTAGTAAGGAAATTTCTAAACAGACTTGATCATAAATTCTTGAAACTAATTGCCATTAAGGTAGGTTGCCTATAGGAATCTATCTTTACTACCTATATACAATGACTGTTGTTTGAAAATAAATCACAAAAAGCTGGAGCCAATTCAAATAAACAGCACAATAAAAAATATCAAATTTTAAGTGGAAATGGGTCCAGTGATTTTTTTTGTCTCTTAATTTAAAAAGATCCCTAAACTCATTAAATATAAAGAACAAATGAAGGATCCTTTCCTTAAAATTAAAATATTATACAGGCAACTTTCTTAGTGGGTTTGGCGACTTCCTGACCTGGCTGAAGGCGCAGATGATAGGAGCTCTGTCCTCTTTTCTGTGCCCTCTACCCAGTCCTGAGTCTTGAATTCTATGGGGGCAAATTGGGCAACTTCATAATCTCTTAGCCTCTGGTAGACAGAAGAGCCCATCCAAAGCCCCAGTCAAGCCCCTTATTATGGTTAAGCAAATCCCATATAGCTGAGAGGTATGTATTGTATTGTTTAATTTGATTTGGGATTATGTATGACCTCCATTTTCTCTCTTCCCATTAGCCTTGACATTCAATTACTAAGGAGAGAATTATCGGCTGTTCATTTGAATTAAACTTAATCTGTGCATTAAAACTGTAATGAAGAAGAAATTACCATCTGCTTTGTTAGAAACATATTCAAACAAAATTAAAGCTATGGGAAATCTTGAAATTTTTACAAGAAAAGAGTGACTACTAATTACATTATTTATAAAAATATTATGGCTACTCTCAGTTAATTTACCAGTCGAAATGATCGGAGAACTGACAGTCCTTCCACATTTGCCAAACCAAGTTCCATTAAACTAAGGCTCACAATTAAACCATCAAAAATATTCCAGCCTTCTTGAAAGTAATAATATGGATCCATGGCAATTATCTTGAGAAACATTTCTGCTGTGAAGATCCCAGTGAAGACCTAAGTGAGAAATGTTTATTACATGAGTGAAGACTCTTGAAAGCATAAATAATTATTAAGCAATTTAATTTATTCCCAAAAAATCACAATTTAGTTCCAAGTTTTAAAAATTGGTTTAGACCTAGGAAATAGTATCCTCAAATGGTTTGTATTCAAGCTGATATTTAATTGTTTACTATAGTTAAGGTTTATCAAGTGATAAAGAATATAAGAATTAAGACAATAAAACTAATATTCTTACTTTTATATTCTTAAGTGAAAGGTTCAGGTAACTTATTGCGGTCAACACCCTGACTTTGCCTCTGATCGCCCTAGCTTTCCAAAAACTCACCAAATGATTATCTATTAGGGCATTCTAGCCCTAGAACCAGATTGACTGGTTTAGAAATGGTTCTGTAACTCCAACCAGGCTGATGGTATTCAATACTTGGGCTTGTATTAGAAATACTAGTTAGGAGGCATACTCTTTCTGCTTAATGAGCTGTGTCAGTAGGATAGAAGTTGGTCGAACATTGCCATCAATAGAATATCCAGCCAGAGATGAAAGAAACATACTGGGAAAAAGCTCACAAGAAGCTAACTCCCAATGACATTGATTGAGAACTTGAATCTAGACAGATTAAAATCTGGAGCTATGCCCAAATGGACTTTAGTTACTTGAAGTAATGAATTATTTTTTAAAATTTATTTTGCTTATTTTTGCTTAAGCCCATTTGAGCTGTTTCCTAATACTCATCTCCATAAAGCTTATTTTATCCCTTGCTCACTTTTTTATAGATAATGTTGAGGTGATTCCTACATATGTGAAAAAATTTGGACTAGGTAACATTATTGTCCTTTCCTAAAGTTCTGTGATTTTTGGGCATAGCTTAAAACAGTCTCTGAAATATCTTTTAGAGTCTCTGATATAGTATTTAGAGCTTTCATTGCTCTGTCAATTTCTCATGGGTATAGATTCCCTCACTGTAAAATGCAGACATTCATAGTATCTACCTGAGGACTGACTTTGTGGGTACCTACAAAGAGGGATTTAATGTAAACCATTTAGCACAATGTCTGGTACAAAATAAGTGGTCAGCATATATATTGTAACTTTATCAGTTAAGACCTATCTGGTTATAATAGAACAATAATGGTTAATTCAGAGTCTAAAAATATTGTGTATCATCCTTCAGAATATATCATTTACTATGTATACAGAACCTGTCTATATGTTCATTTATCAAGGTGGGAGGTTCATGAGAACTTAATAAACCTCTTACATTGATATCAATATATTTTTGTCACCTGAATTTATTCATTTTGACTTTCATTTCTATCACTCTACCATGTAGCCACGAATGTTAGTACAGAATTTTAAGTAAAAAAATATGCAAAACTTAATAATTTATAAACTCCTAAATGTATAGGACAAATTCAAACAGAAATAATAACTCCTATATGATGTTTCTTCCCTTAAAAATCCATCTTCAGGCATGAACAGATATTTCAAAATTATCTGACTTAATTTGTTTGACAAATGTAAACATGTCTGAAAGAGTCTCTTCTGAATACCTGAGGAACACAACAGCATTTTACCATAGATCTATGTCCCCTGTAATTCATAATGATCTTTTTAATGAATTGGCAATTTATATTTAATTCTAAGTCAAACTATAAATAAAATCTTTGACTCTTTTCTACTGCTTAACTGAAGCAATATAATTTGTTATAAAAAAGTAATGCTGAATTTTTGCTGCCCAAGTCAATATGGCCAATTAATTCATATTTAATCTGAGAGTGATGTGTGAAATTCATTAAAGTAAACATATATCCTTTCAATGAGCAGAGTAACCCTCAGTGAGCCTTACCAGGTTCCCAACTGACAGCACACTGCTAAACTGCTCCGTCATGGGATAGTGCTCCATGGCCATGAAGAGGGTATTTAGGACAATGCAGATGGTGATGGCCAGGTCAACAAAAGGGTCCATCACAACAAGGTTGACAACATGTTTCACCTTTAACCATGGCTTACAGCAGTCCCAAATCAAACACATGTTAGCAAATTTATACCAGCATGGTGGGCATTTCTGTCTGGATTCTTCAAGTTCTGGAAGAAAACAGAATACTTATGAAAACTGCTTCCTCCCTTTTAAGAAGCCTTTGATTTTAAATTGAAAGTGACTCAAAAAATTCTGAAGTTGTTAAAAGGCATTATAGGTTAATTTGATGGTTGAGCAGGAAAGCACTGATAGACTAGCTGTCATAAAAAATGTGGAAGGGCTAGTAAACTTTACAAATGTATCTTAGTTAAACATGGTTTCCAAGAGTCTATCTATAACATTAAACTATCTGATAATTATCTTCAAGGCTATCAAAAATTAATGGGTAGGACTTGTGTCGAGTATACTTAAATGTCATCTATGTTCCAGATAGAGCACTTATATTATGAAAGACTATCTCTCAGAAGTCTTTAAAAGCTTTATTAGTCATGATGAATTTCAGTTTCATGGATTAGATATGTTTTTTGGGTATTTTAATGAAAGAGTTCTGTCAGTATCACCAATCTTGAAAGTTTCTGGTTAAACCTAATTAGATATAGTATTACATATTAAACTCGGCAAAACTCTTTTTTTCCGCCACATTTCTTGATTTAAATAGACGACACAAAAGAAGAGGAAATATCCACTCTAAGAAAGTGAGATCCTCACTGTTTCACAAAATGTGACTTATGTACTACTGGTAAAATGCAAGAGGATTTTAGATAGAACATAGGTATAATTAATAAATTTTCATGAAATGCATTTATTTTAATGTGTTAAAATAACAATCACACCAAACCTATGATAAAAGATTTCATATAAAGACACATTTACTTAAGAAAATACTATAATGATTTCAGGAAGAATTTCAACTAAATAATAGGAGAGAAAAGACAGAAATGCACAGATCTTTAAGGTGATGCTCAAAATACTGAAAAAGTAAATATTGGCAAAGAATTTGGGAGAATTAGAAAGTGGGAAATTATATACTATTTTTCTTTGGTATATTTATCTCAATCAATTATTGAGTGAGAAAAGGATACAGTTGTTGTTTTCTGCCAGTATCACACTCTATTAGTTGCTCAGCCAAACATGAGACCTGATTAGCACTAAAGCTCATGAGACTGATGAGCACTAAAACTGAGGAAAAAATTCTTTGTTCATCAATAGCATAACTGACTCTGGTGGGTCAATTTAGTATTACTACTGTGGCAACTGGAATATCTCTCCAAATCTGGGACAGTTTACTAGAAATTAAACTTTTTAAGGGAATTCATACAATGGACAAACACTACCATAAGTGGTGATTTTTGCTTCGCTGATAGACATTTACTACTAATTTTATAAAGTTTGTTACTTCACTAAAGTAAATTAATTTCCTGATTATTTTTCACAGAATTCCATTTAGAAGCAGATGCTTCAGTTGTGTCTTTAGATACTGAAATACTTTAAGTACCCAGTTTATTTCCATTTCTCTTAATATGTAATTTTGTAAACAATAAGGAATAGTTAAGTTGTAAATCAGAAGAAAAACATATAGTTTTTATGTGCTGTTTTGTAGATGCTTTTAAGACTCCCAAATAAACTCATGTTTATACTGAAGATAAAAGGACAATATCATTTACAGTAAATAACTAAAGAGAACTGAAAAAAAAATCTCTTTGCCTATGCACAGTCAGCATAAGTATTTTTTTAAATGCTACTTGCAATTTAGTAGATAAAGAGAAGCAAACAGAAACTGTGTGGAAAAAAATAAGAGAAAAGTCAAAAGGGGAAACAGCCAATGTTGCTCATCTTGACACCAGGAAAAAGTGAAGCCGAGTGTTAAGTTCTAAAATAAAATCATTCAATTATTCATGCCAAAAGGAAAAAAGAATTATCACACTTTGAAACAAAACAAAGCACTCAGGAGAGAACTACAGCCACATCTCCATTATTCCTGGGTGGGTTATCCACACTGAGACGCATTTACAACTCAGTTTAGATCTTTGCTGGCTTCCCTCAATTCCCCAGTGCTTCCACCTCACCTCCCACCGTTCTTCCCAAAGATGTGACCAGGAAATATTTCCACGTGGTTTTTGCATTTTAAAAACTTGAAAAGGAAACAATTCATTTCTGTGTATCTCCTACAGTGTCATTCAGTAGGAGGCTATTCATTACCCTGGACAATGGAGACCCAGCTGTAGTTCAAAAGAGGGAAAACAAAAGTTGTCAGCGTGGGTCAACAAGCCTGGCTGAAAAAAGCAAAGGTAAACTAAAACACGGTTAGACTCAGAAGGAAGGATCCCCAGATAAACAGATTATGTCAACCTAAGACACTTTTCCACCATTATCAGGAACCAAAAAGGACTATATTAAAGACAGTTCTAGTTGCCTGTGTGCACTATATAGCTAACAACCAGCCTTGATTAATGTCAGATTCAAAGTGTTTAGATATAACTGAATAAAGAAAAGTATGCTTTGCATTCTTCACAACCAATGAAAAATAGAATGAAAACTCAGCCATTGTTCCTCGCAAAAATATCAAGTTAAAAGCTCTGCAGATATTAAAGTCAAACACTCAGTCTCCTGCTTCCTAAGTTACTCTTATCTCTAGGACATCATTTCACTCTAAGCAATTCCATGAGACACATATTCATGGAGGGCGATATGGGAATGTGTGCACTCATTTTTAACTCCATATCTTAGTGGGTAAGTTCAATTTTATGGTGGTGGCTTGATGTTTTTAAGTAACTTCTTAGGTTAATTCAAACTTAATGCCATCAGTAGTGCAAATCAGTGTTAGTTAAGACTTACCCTGTCTCCTTCTCTACTTCTTGCTTTAGGGAGCAGACATGCTGCTGACATCGGTAGCAGAACCACTGGCAGCTTCCTCTCAGTGGTTTTGCTATGGCAAGGAGCAGAAGACCAGAGAATCTTCAAAAGATTTACCTGGAGGGACAGGGAGGAGCAAGCTACTGGCAGCTGGGGGGGAAGAGGGAGTGCAAGCTAACGCAGGCGAGGTTGGGGAAGAACGTACTGAGTTTAATATCCCATAGAAATCAGTGAAAAGATTTCTGATATTGCATTAGGACATTACGAATGTTGGGACTGTAGCAACTGACATGGCTGTGATATATATGGCCATCTACATTGTGAGATTTTCCTGGCTGTGACTCTCAGGTTTTGGGTATTATTAAATATCATGGGATCTTTGCATTTAGACTGGAAAATAATTATTCCAAGAATCTATCGAGTATTACGAGAAACTACAAGTAACAGAGAAGCATGAACACATGCTTGTGTTCTTTCTCATTCTCCATCTTTCTTCTTCCTTCCACACATCTACACACACACATACACACACACACACACACACACACACACTTGGGAGGGGAAGGAAAGGGAGGGTTATAAAGGTGAAAGGGAGAGAAGGGCAAAGGAGAGCAAGGGAGGATGATAGAATACATTTTATATGAAAGTATTTTCCAAGGTGAAGTTGATAGTTGATGTTTGAATTCATTAACAAGTACAGAAAGGCATAAACATGTGAATTAACAAAACAATGATAAAGCAACCAATAATACTGGTTATTGACTGCCTTCTACATTCCAGGAACATAGGTGTTTTATGGATGAGGTCTTATTTAGTCTTTACAACAATGTTATTCTAAACATCATTATCAATACTAACTGATGAAGAAACAACTACAGAGCCACAAATAGATACACAGAGTCAATAACTGATCACAAATCAAGCTGTCCCCAAATTCCTTATTTTGGAATTATAACATCCAGACCTCTTAACAATGTATTAACTACTCATATATAATCAGCGACTAAAGAGAAAGTTGAGATATTATTAAACTCTGATCAGAGAGAGAGGCAAAAGTAGTTTTCAAAATTTTGAAAACTTTGCTTCAAAGTGGTTAATATTAAACCCTAATTTCCACTTTTTTCATTTATACTTCTGGTTAAATCAAATGAGTTTATCACTTAAGTCTCAAGCAGTTAATACAATTCAACTGTGTTAGCATCACTATAAAAATAAACATTTATCATTACATTCCTTTTGATGTCATGCACATGACAAACTTCAACAGTTTAAGAACTTAATCTACCAAGGTTATATTCCAGGTATACCTTGAGTTTGCAGTAGCTTCCTGGAGGCTAAATGTAAAAATCTATATGAGACAACAGAATTGAGGTATTGCATGTGGATTTTACTTTTATTTAGTAAAAGAAATAATAATATCATGGTATCAATTCAGGAAGAATTTAACTCTTAGAATTTATGAAAGTTTTTTTATCACCATTACCAAGGCACCACCAAGTAACTGTGCTCTAAGACTTCTGACATACCTTCCATGGTGTTGGTCAAAATACTAGCCATACTCATTGCTCTTTGCCTTGCTGAAGGATCTTCCAAAAGATCCATGGAAACGTGATAAGAACTGGACCGTCTCTTTCTTATTTCTGTTTCAGTAGTTGTGCCCTAAAAATAAAATTTCATATGAAATAACTAGTATTTTTAAAGGCCAAAGTGTTCCCGCAATAGGTGTTATTTAGCCAAATATTCACTATGCTTTGTCAGATATAAACAGCTCACTAAGACATTGCTAGAATCATCATTCTTGGGAAGGATTTGAAAGCCCATCATATTCTCAGCATTCAGGGATGCCTGGGTTTGTGATCAAGATGGACTTTTCTAATTCATCCATCTTGGAGCTTTGGGTTGGAGGCATCTTGCTTCTTTTGGGATAGATAACCCTTTAACATTTCAGTCAATCCTATCTAGAACTTCAAACTGAAGCATATTACTCCTTGATTTACTCACATATTATTAGATCTTTATATATATTCATGTGGTTCAATGAATGAAAAGAACTTTACAGGTTTCCCTAATATGCATCAGTAGTAGCACTCCTAAAGTGTGAATTCCATGTTAAAATGTTTCTGTTCATTATAGACAGGTACAGATACAGGAATGCACATATGATTTTGTATAGAGCAGATGGGACTAGATGACCTTTAAGCAACCCCATTTTTTCACCTTCACACTTTGCCTTTCCCTGATGAGGCTACATATTTTCAACTCTAAGAGACAACTTTTTGATTTAAAAAGCTTTGTTTCAGAGAGGGGTTATTTTTTTCTCATGAATTTTACTTTTCTTTCATAGTAAAATTAATTTTAGGTTGACCTAAATGAATGTTCATCCTCATTAATGACAATCCTATTAATGGAGTGGAAATTCTGCTTTTGACTATGTATGTATTAGAGGTAACAAGGTTAATAAAATAATGTTAATTACTGATAGCACAATAAAGTAGGTAAATAGGACTCATATTGCTTATATAAATAAGGAAAATCCTCAGAGGAATAAAAGTGACTTCTTTATTATTAGCACTCTGACTTGCATTAGAAATGCTTGAGTCTTGCCCCTTTTTTCCCCTGTGATCACTAACTTCATTGCTTGAACTCTTGAAGTGGAAATAAATTTCTGCCCATATTGAAATTCTGGTGAGTTTATTTTGGAATAGAAAAGAATCAATTCAACATATCATTGCTAAAAATCAAAGATCCCCCATTATGATGTCTTGCCTTAAATTAGAGTTTCAATGCCAAGGATGGGTTCTCTTGTAAGTGTAAGATAAAGTTATAAAATTTAGTTTAATTATTATATATTTAGTTAATTATTAAGAATGTAACATCCTATTAATGTTGCATCAGAGCTGAAAATATTTTGCCTCATCAGAGAAAGTCAAAGTTTGGAGGAAAAAAAAAATGGGGTCACTTAAAGGCGATCTAGTCCCTTCTGCTCTGTACAAAATCATATATGTTATCTGATATTTGTCTAATTTTTAGTGCTAGATTTCAAACTCTCTAATGATATTACCAAGGAAATTCTTAAATTAAATTGCTTCAATTGAATTAATGTGAAAGTGCAGGATATTGTGTGCTCTGGAAGGTAGCATTTGCCCACAGCTGCTTATTTTCTGTTCTTCTTTCTCTCTGCAGTCTTGCAAAGCCACATCTGTGGTCTGCCTCTGCATCTCCTGCCACACCACAGTGCGGGGCCCTGCCTCACAGCACTCGACTGCAATGCTGAAGGGTGGACACCAAGCAGCAGGGAACGGATACTAAATTAGGCTTTGTTTCAACTGCCCGAATTTGCCTTCAGAGATTTATTCCCCCCTCTGTGATAGGACAGGAGTGATAATTACTGATAAATGCTAAATATTTTCTGATGGACTGAAATTCTCTTGCATTTATGTAAAGAAGTTGTAGGTTTATTTTCGTGTTCTCAATTAACATTTATCAAGATCAGAAATACTCATACTTCAATATGTGTAAGGACCATGTGGGATGGTTGTCAAGAAAGAAGAAATCACTGATTCCTGGCCTCTTGGTCTTGGTCTGAGTAAATCGGAGTGGGCCCAGAAATCTTCATTTCTTTCTTTAAACCACTTTTGTGAAGTATTATCAACATGTAAAAAGCTATGTATACTTCACACTCACAACTTGATGAGTTTAAGAATAAGTATATACCTGTGAACCATCACCACTATCAGTTCATAAACATTTCCATCACCTTCTACAGTTTCCTTCCACCGCCTTATCATTGTTGCTGTTGCTATTTGGGTTGAGAACACAGCATAAGACCTATCTTAGCGATTTTAAGTTACAATTCAGTATTCTTAGCTCTAGGCACTATGCCATACAATAGATCTCCAGAACATTTATCTTGCATAACTGAAACGCTGGACCCTTTGGTTATCAAACTCAGAGAAGCAGAGGAGAATGGTGGCTGCCAGGGGTGGAGGGAAGGGGAAATGAAGAATCTCCATTCTAAGAAGTATCCCAGGGAATTCTATGGCAAGTAGTCTGATGATGAAATATATCTTGAGAAACACTGGGTAAAAATGAAAGGGTTTGTTTCCTTAACCATCTCTTCTTTTCCATTTAAGAAAATTTAAAGAAAATTGGTGGGACGTAATATTGCAATCTGGATAGAATGTAGGGTAGGTAGCCAGCATATATAGGGTCAAATCCTAGCTCCATCATGCACAGGCCTCAGTTTCCTCTCAGTAAAATGGAGATAATATTAATAACTATTATAAAGTATTGTTGTGAGGATTAAATGAATTAATGCAATAAAGTGTTCTGGACACTGTCTGGTACATAGTTAGGCATGATTATTTTTTAAGAGAAGTTGGCATTCCTTTTGCATTTTTCCAGGTTCTTTCACAATAAAGTTCTATTTTTAATCATGATTTGATCTGATTTTAGGATACTTGAATATCTTTCTGGTAGAAGTGCTGGGGAGAGGCCAGGCAAAAAAAGTAAGGATGATCAATGGCTGTTTCTATAATCCAAAGTAAGAAGTTCTGTTAGGTGACTGAAAGCTGACTCCGTGTGATTTTAATGTGACTGACAGAGCTCATCCAACTATAATGAGGAAAATTTTGCAAAAAAAAAAAATCATACAAAGAAGATTTTAATATGATTTGGTAAACTATAAAGTATAACCAAATTGCTAGAATTTTTTATACTGGCAAATGAAATCTTATTTAATACCAAAGTTAAAAAGCATTTATGTTTTACGAAGGAAATGTCAATAATATATCCCAGTGTCTGGTATTTAGCTGAAACTAAATTCCACTAAGTTCCGTATGCATGATTTATGGCCATTATGTTTATTTAAAAAACTCAGGACGGTAATATAAAAATTGAAATCTGCTCTAAGTTATAACACATTACTTTACCAGGTACTTCGAGTGGCTTCTTTACCATATAAATGTACGATGGTCATTTGGGTGCTAAAATGTTATAGCACCTTGACCTGCCAAGAGGAAGAACGTTGTGTTGCAGAATTTAGATGCATTTAGTAATACTATCTACTTCAAGTGCAAGTATCAAGTACTCCTTTTAAAGGATTAGAAATAACAAGATGCTTAAGATGGGTATTTATATCATTTCTTGCATTTATTTTGCTTATATTAATTAAAAATAATGCATGATAAATTGTTGCTGTATTTTTGGCAAGTTTGATACGGTGGTAATAATGATGGAGATCTTCTCATTATAGTCTATGAGATCCAACCTATGTTTTTAATTCATTTGTAGAAAAGTCTGAAAGGAACAATTTGACAAAATAAGTTCATAACTTGACTGAACTGACCCTTGGCCTTTGAAGAGTAGGCTCACTAAAACTCACACAGGTGGGACTAGAAAACCATTCCCGCCTGCACCAGCCACACCTCCCTCCCCACGAGCTGCAGGTTTCCCTGGTCTCACCTCTGGTAGGAGCTGCCCAGCAGGGGACGTGAGGGCAGAGGGGCCCCCGACCAGGGAGACCACGCCGTTGCAGTCCACGGCACTGTGCATCTTCCCGTTCACGGGCAGGATGGGGAGCACCCTGGAGGCACGGCTGGCCTGGCTGACGTTGCTGTGGCGCCGCTCCCCGTGTCTGTGCGGCACAAACAGAGAGTCTCTTCTGCTGTCGTTGTCCTCAAAGGTGCTGTGCTCATCGTCCGCAAAATCATTCTCAGAGCCGATATCCTTGGCTCGGCCTCGGAAGCTGAAAAGGCTCGCCCGACTGTTGCGTCTTGGAGAGAACAGGGAGCCACGGACGCTCAGTAAAGACTATCGACCGCAAGGAAGGAAACAAAAAACCAGATGAACAGAATTAAGTGTTCTGGAAAATATGAGCCAGGACTCATCGCTTCATAGCTGCTGACTTAACTAGGATAAGGCATTGGATGGGTGTGATCAAGGGCTTATATGGTAACTGCTGGTGGCATTCTGGAACTTTCTCCTGGGTTCAGCTCTTTTATTTTGCTTTCCCTGTTTCTTCCTTCCTTCATTTTCATCTTCTGAGCTCTGATTTTCTGTCATTTTCTTCTATGTTACCCATGACTTCCGAGAGTCAGAAGTACCCCTGAAGACTGTTTTGTTTCATTTCTGGCACTCAGAACTGAAATCTTTACTAAACTCTTCTCTAGAAACTATTCTTATTTAACAATCCAATGGAGAACAATTAAGTACACAACTATATTTAGTTCCTTTGAAGTCAAAACCACACAAGAGTGCACTAGTGACCACATGACCACACCACAGAGAAAAATGAAATCAATCTTGCTAGTAGGTCTATTTAATTATAGTAACAAGGAGCAATTTCTCCCCTTCCCCTTGCGTATTTTATAACAGTCCTCATGAATAATTTAAACAAATCAAACTGAAAGACTGTATGATTCATTCCCTGATTTTCACTCTTTTGTCTGTCTCAAGAAATCTGAAGAGCACCACATTTACAAAAACCTGGTTTTCACTAAGTGTCTGGTCACAATCATTTAACAATCTTCTAGATGGCTACAATGTCACTGGCATCATTCAGTTTACTTTGATTCTCAAGCACAGTAGCATTGAGCACAATGAATCATTTGCTGTTTACCACTAGTCCACTTTTACAACTTCACTCTAGGGAGCACTTGTTTCTGCTTCTCTAATATCCATTTGTCCTTTGTTGACAGTACCCTGATTATCTCCAAGAAATGCTCTCTGGCAAGACCATGATCCAGGTCTAGCCAATGAATGTATTCCATGCCTCTGGCCATGGAGACCGGTTTAAAAATGGGTAGGGGACTCTGCATGGTCCACTGACAGTCACCGATTTCTTTTGCAATTGAAAGGGGTACATTCTTTATTGAGGTTGCTAAAACCACTGCCTATAAGTTCGAGTCATGGTGGACATCTTATCACCATGTTGGAGGAATCTGTAGATGTGGAGAGATACTTCGCCCTGGTAACATGTTTTGAGCCCTTGAGTCCAGCTGTGCCTAAAGCTACTCATCGATATTATTTACATGATCTAATTTTCTTTTTTTCTTAAGCTGGCTTAAGTTGGATTTTTATGATTATTAATAGAATACCAACTCTACTAGTTTCATCTTTTTATCTCCAAAGGATTTAAAGCTAACTAAAATTATTATTTTGCACCTATATATATTTTACATTTCCTGACTACTAAGTGTTCATTTAATTTAATTTAATTTTTTTCACTTATTTTTATTAGTTGGAAGCTAATTGCTTTACAATATTGTAGTGGTTTTTGTCATACATTGACATGAATCAGCCATGGATTTACAAGTATTCCCCATCCCGATCCCCCCTCCCACCTCCCTCTCCACCCGATTCCTCTGGGTCTTCCCAGTGCACCAGGCCCGAGCACTTGTCTCATGCATCCAGCCTTTATTTTCAGCTAAAGAATGATTTTCTCAGTGACACCTATGAACATCTATAAAATGTCTGTCATCTTTAAATACTATCTTATATTATGTGATCTTAGTCATTATTTACAGAAAGAAACACATCTAAGAATACTGATCTACTTTCCCAGAAGAACTTATTTCTTCTTTTCCTATATGCATGTTTTTTCATGCTATTATCAACTTCATTAGTAAGATAATTCATTTCCTTTATTATTTCCACATGAATATTTTTAAAACCTCTCCTATACTATCCAATTTCTTTCATGTCTCCTTTCTCTATTCACAAGGGACTTTGAATTAGATATAAGGACATAATATCTACAGAATTTGTGACGTACTGGTTATCACTACCTCAGAAAGAAAGCCAGACAATAAATGCTTGACAATAGGAAATAAAGTAGAAATTATTTATATGTACCATCTTAGTAACAGTTTATGTTTTTATACTACAAGTTCTGCCCTCAGTTAGTGCCAGCAGATGGTTTGGAAAGAAATGTTATAAAATTAGACACACTGTTTCTCAAAGTTCAAAGGTGAATTATGCCACACAAGAGCATAGTTTATATGTGGCAGCTATATGGAAAATGATTGTTCTCCATGTGTTAGCCTCAACTTCCACTGCTTATATTAATTACATAACTCTATAGCAATCAAATGTTCTGTTACAAATAGAGGATGGATGGACAGTAAGAAAAAAATCTGCCATAACAAGTGGATCTTTGGTTTATCATAAATACAGAGGGAAATAATAACTTTAGTAGGCCAACAGTATCTTATAAATGCTTTAAAAATAAAATATCCAGATTGTCTTGAGCTGTGGTTAGAAACTGCACTCTTGACTTCCTTCTTTCCCCTATCCCACAGTAACAAGTCTTAAGAAGTCTAAAAAGTATTTCATACAATCCACCTACTCTGAGGAAATTATAATCCAGTGGTAAAAGTATATATTATATTTTTTTAATATGAAAATAGCAATGGTTACCAATATAATTGCCTATCACGTCCCTATAAAACAATAGTTTTTAATACATTTGGGCCTTGTGCCATGCAAAACCTAGCAAAAGCTATGGACCCTTCACCACTGTAGCCAGGCTCACTATTTTCAGTATTACTTACAGGGTCTTGCAAAGTGAAATTAGTATGACTTCAGCATCCCTCCCTTCTTTTCCCCTCCTTTTCTCTCTCTCTCTTTGTATCTTCATTGCCCTCTCCAGCTTCTTAATTAGTTGCTTGATTACTTCTTTTTCAGATAAAAATCTTCAGTTCTATTTTTATACAAATACCACTTCAGAAACAGATATCCACTTGAGCCAGATATTACATGTTGTATAAGTCAGCCATCACCTATGATACCCAGCTAGTTAAGAAGCAGAAGTTTTAAGAAGATGGTATGGGGAAAATGTTATGTCTTTGGACAACATGTACAGAAAAAGGTGGGTAGAACCTAACATTTTCAGACTTTACTATTCTGCCTAGAATTAGTTCTGTTGGACTCGAGATAAAGCATACTGGGGTGACTCTCCGTGTTATGTGGTATCTGGTTTGCAGTTTCGAATTTTGGTAGTTTTTCCCCAGCTAACTTATTTCCCTTCTTTTCTCCCTCTCTTCTTTCCCTCTTCCCTTCCTTCAAAACAAACAATACTCTAAAAGGGAGACTTGATTTTTTTACATTCACATTTATTGAGATTCAAGTCTCCACTAATGAAAGCATAATGATTATGACAACAACACGAACAAGGGTAGATTCTACTTCAAATTTGAATTCAACTGCACTAATCTTTTCATTCAGCATATCTCATAATGTTACCTGGACTTAGAGTGAATAAGGCTGACCTATAAAAATTATATACATATTAAACATAAGGTTATATGAGACTGTGGATACAAAGAACATATATAATCCTAAATATACATATCTTTTAAATGAAATCAAATTGTAAATTTTCTCATCAGCTTCTTAAGACTTTTTAAAAAATATTCTTTCTAGTCAGCCTAATATAGCAGAAAGTTCAAGAGCTTCAGTGTCAGGCCAACTGTGAATGCCACTTCAACCTTTAATAACTATATGACACTGGGCAATTAGTTAACTTCACTGAGCCCAAAATGTAATGAAAACAGTCATATTCAGGGTTTTTAACATTAATTATGGTAGAAGAAGAAGAATGCCAAACACAAAACAGGCGCTCAACAAAGAATACCACCCGTCCCCTTGTCTTCACATCTGCAGATTGGGGATGAGGACGACAGTACCCGCTAGGGCTGCCCTGAGTGGCCTCAATAAGTTTATACTGTAAGAAGCAATGTACCAGGTAAGTGTTAGCCATCATCATTGCTGTGGGTGTTCAAATTGTTACTGTTAATTGTATGGATATGAAGCTTTTCAGTACCGAAAATCTGTAATTCTTTTGGTAATTTTAAAAGCAATTAATGATCCTAAATTTCAAAGTTACAGCAGCTAGTGTTGGTAGATAAGCCAGAAGCATCTAGATAACATTTTCTGCACTATATAAGTCAACATATTATTTACATTCAAGTCTCCTTAAACATGAGACACAGGTAATCAAGTGCAATTAGACACAATTGTTTATTTAGTATCATAGATCTTCCTCAGTGCACATCTACCTAAAGTCTTTGATGACACTTTTAGAAAAATGATGCTCCAGTTTCCCTTGAAACAAGAACAAGGAATACATTCCTCATATGAAGCTGGCAGGTGGATGGGAACAACTGCACAGATAGTCTGAGAGAATCCACTCTTCAGTTCTAGGAAGCTGCCACTGAGAAAACCGACAGTTCACTGGGTCCAGGCACCACAGCTATGAAGGGACAGGAACCATCTACTGATTACTCGTCAGGTGGAAAATTGCCCTGAGACGCTTACCAGTCTTTAGGGAAATCTCAAAATCACAAGCCTTCCCCAGTGCAGTGGCATCTATGCTCTAAAAATGCTTTCCTGGAATTCCAAAATGTTGTAAAACTCACAGATTCCTTGAGGTGATAACCAAAACATTCATCAATCATTACCATTCTGAAAGTATGGTGTCAGCAAGGAGGAAGGCAGTTTTATCTCTAACCAAATTCTGGCATATTTTAAATACTTGTGTTTGCTATAACAAATGCAATTTATATAATATAATATGTTTACCTGATGTGGAGAGGAAAACCTCTTTTCATATGTCAACCTGCTTCCTTCTAAGGAAAACCGGAAACCTTTTCTTCTTATGCTGTCTTCAGATTCAGATTTGTGGACCCCATCTTCCTTTTCTTCTTCTCCAGACTGTTCTTTCTGTTTCTTTTTCTTCCTTCTGTTTTTCAGCTCTTTTTCACTCTTGGAGCTCAACTTTGATGCTACTGAAGAACTCTCTGAGAAAACCCCAATCCCACCAGCACCACTGAAGTCTCTTGATTCAGCTGAAGCTGCTGCAGCTGCTGCCTAGAAGGGTGCAAGGGAAATGGCAGTTGCACATAAACTTTGAAAAACTCTATCCATGTTACTGCTTCACTTATCCTTGGTATCATGAATATGTGACTTTTAAAAATGATTATCCATCCTAGTATGTATTTTGGAAAACAGCTCATATATTGTCATTGTCGGGTTTCCCAGGTAGTGCTAGAGGTAAAATTCCCACCTACCAATGTAAGAGACACACAGGTTCAATCCCTGGTTTGAGAAGATCCCCTGGAGGAGGGCATGGCAACCCACTCCAGTTTTCTTGCCTGGAGAATCCCATGGACAGAGGAGCCTGGCAGGCTATAGTCCATAGAGTCACAAAGAGACAGACATGACTGAAGCGACTTAGCACACACACACATTATCATTAAACCACTTAAAGAATTAAAATTAAGAGAAAAGTGAAAGATGATACATGTGACTTCAAGGAAGATCTTCAAGCCGTGGCTTCACACTACACATTCTAATGATCTAATAAAATGCAAAAGACACTCAAATAGCATAAAGACTTTTTTCTATTATTTAAACAATGTCATAAGAAGCAAATAATTTAAGAACTAAAGGTTTCCTATTTTAACCTGATCTAGCACACTTCCACTTGACAGTGATTTTAGTGCCAGTATAAATTATTAAATTTAATTCAGTCAAGAATTTCGTTTTAATAAACCTTTTTTTCTCTTTGACTTAAAATGATTATTTCACTAAGAAATGCACAATGAAAACAAATTAGAGACTGTATATAAGAAAATCCCCAATCATGGCATCTGAGTGAATTTATAAATGACAACAGTACAATTATTGGAAAGATAAAGTGCTCAATATTGTTGCCGCTATTCCAGTATAATTTTATTTATCTGATCTTTATTACATATTTAGGATACTCAGTGCTAAAAGGGAACCGTACTCTACATTCAGTAAAAATGAATATAGTCGACTGGATTAACAACATTGTCAAGCACATATAATTAGAGAAATTATTTTGAAACTTCATCAAGTCCGAATTATAAGATTTACAGGGTAATGGGCACAGAATGTAATGATTTAGCATGTTTATGTACCAGTGTTTTCTTTATACAATCCACAAACTTGCATTTGAACTCTTCAAATAGAAAATAAATATTAAATAAGATTTTGTCTTTTTTTCCAGACTCTATAAAATAATCTTCTCAGTTTGACCTGGATTTTCTGACCTTTCCCACCTCTAGTGACATGAAGGAAGAAGCAACCAGAACTGAATTCTGCTTCCCCAGAAGATTAAGAAAATAGTTCAGCCGAAGGCATGTAGGTATAACTACTTTGTGAAGGGCCACAAGGGAGAAAAAAATGCCAATAAACTCATTATAATTTGCCATGTTTGGATGCCATTACTATAGTTAAGTGATCACGTTAGTGGCTCAGTCATGTCTGACTCTTTGCGACTCCATGCATTGTAGGCTGCCAGGTTCCTCTATCCATGGGATTCTCCAGGCAAGAATACAGGAGTGGGTAGCCATTCCCTTTGCCAGCATTATCTTCCCAGCTCAGCGATCAAATCCATGTCTCTGTCATTGCAGGCGGATTCTTTACAGTCTGAGCCACCAGGGACGCCCAAGTAACCATCAAAATAAAAGAATAAGTCTCTGATTACCAAATAGGCTCCTAGCACTTACTAAACACGTATGGCATGTTTCAAATGTCAGTTACCACTGCTGATTTTGTGTGTTTAAATGTCTCTGATCTTGACAGTATGGTCAGAGGATGGAGATAAACGCAAAAGGGCTCGATGCTTGCTACCATACCTGGGCTTCCTCTTGCTGCTTTTTAAGCTGTTCAAGCATCTGCTGAAATTCAGCTTCTTTCTGTTCAGCCTCTTCCAGCGTTGCCTGATTCTGTTCTTCATAGGCCATGGCCACCACAGCCAGGATCAAATTTATTAGATAGAAGGAGCCCAAGAAAATGACCAGCACAAAAAATATCATGTATGTTTTCCCAGCAGCACGTAGTGTCTGCAAAGATGGAAGAGATATTTTATTAACTTTTATACAGAATGTTACAAGCATGCATTCTCAGTAATAAAGTAGTTTATTACAGTTCTCTTGATCTCAGGAGTTCATGCTTCCCAGAAGAATCATTCTATCTGTTCTCACCAGTTGATAAAGGTTTTCCCAGAAGTCTTGAGTCATGAGACGAAATAAGGACAGGAAAGCCCAGCTAAAGGTGTCGAAGCTTGTGTAGCCATAGTTGGGGTTTCGACCAGCCTTCACACAGATGTATCCTTCTGGACACTGGCTGTGATTAGGTGAAAAGAAAGAGGGGACATCTGTCATTGCAAGTTGCATGGCTGGCTTTCCTGTTTTTATAGACCCTGATGTCTATTTTATGCAGCACAAGAAAAGCAGATTGTTCTCACTTTACCCAGTGCTGAGTCCAGGACTAAGAGGACTGATTTACATAACAACAGAATCTGCTAAGTCTATTTGTGGATTTCTCTGTGATTCATGATTGCCATTATTATATTTATCGTGCCTCCCTATAGAAGCAATCATATTATGATTACTATCTTCTGAGATTTGTGAAGATGAACAGAAAAATAAGTCTGCAGGGAAAATTTTTGATTTTCACTGAAGATATCTAGAGGCAGCAGTGTGTTGAGCGTGGAGGTAGGAAAGCGGGTAAGAAAAAGATAGGGAGGGTGCATACCAAGAGGAGTGAATGAGTCTGCAGAGGGAACATTTCACAGTATGACCTTAATGATTAAGCTGACCCGGACTCAACATTGTGCTTGACACTCTGGGCTGTGTGATCTTGGGCAAGTTGCTGGTTTGGAATACCTTGTATGTAAGAAAAGGTTAATAACAGAACTTGCCTCCAAACTTACAATCACTGAATAAGACATCATATGTAAAACACTTAGTACAGTATAGAGAAGAGTTAAAATCAGTCTGTTTTACTTATTATTAAGATCTGGAGATAAACGCAGCACAATATCATATGAGCCAAATGCAAAGCTTGTTACCGTTGGGGATTCTGCTACAGGTACTAGTTACTAATGTCCACAATAGCACCTACCTCAGGAGGAACATCAGACTTCCATTTATGATTCTAAAATCTCATAAATACAGAAAGAACTATTTCTCTGAATTCTCCTCCTAGCTTTAGCTCCAGGGAAAATGCTTCTTAAAAACAAGCATTCACATAATGCCAGTTATGATAATTAAAAGTACTTACTGAATGCTGTAATAGCTATACATTCATTAATCCATTTAATTCTCACAGTCACCTTATAATTTATTCCTACTTATCCCATGGGGAAATCAGGGCAAGAAGAGGTGACATTATATGGTGAGGTTCGGGTTTGAATTCGTGTAAACTCTCGGGTCTATGCTCTTAACCATTTTGCTAAAATATGCTAAACATGTACTCACTACAGATCAGATACTGACATTATCTTCAGATATATTTTATGCCATGGAGACCACATTAGTATATATAGAATATCACACTTATAAAAGAACATGGTTATGAATTCTATTAACTTGAGCTTTTTATGTATATGTATTGTTTCTCTTTCTATTTTCCATTGAACAAATTTGGAAGATTAGCTGTGACCTAGTATGGAAAAATAATTGCTGCATGAGTGTGTGAAGGAGGTGACAATCCACACTTATCCCAGCTATTTTGAGTCAGCGTGAAGTGGAATTTATGGAGGGCTTTGAATGAGGAGCAAGCGGGGGCAGGGTAGGTGGGAGGTGGCAGGCTAAGGCCTATGGAGCAGTATGGACTGAGGCGCGACACAAAGCAGCACTTACCCTGCATCAGAGCTGTTACCACAAAGCAGAGCATCATTTTGCCCTTCCAGAAAATAAAAGTGACCTATTTAAAGAGCAAAGAATAGAGAGAATCATTTTGAAGAACCTTCAAAACGCTTCAGCCACTGTGTGTGGGTAATAAAGCTTACATTTTTTTAAAGCATAATAAAACTGATAAAATAATAAATATGTGTATGAAGTGAAGTGAAGTGAAAGTCACTCGTGTTTGACTCTTTGTGACCCCATGGACTATACAGTCCATGGAATCCTCCAGGCCAGAATACTGGAGTGGGTAGCCTTTCCCTTCTCCAGGGGATCTTCCCAACCCAGGGATCGAACCCAGGTCTCCCGCATTGCAGGCGGATTCTCTACCAGCTGAACCACCAGGGAAGCCCAAATATGTGTACGGCTAAATGAAAATAATAACTGATACCATACAAATATCACAAACATTTTTGATTAAACACATGTTTAGGAAATCTGTTTAAAAAGAAATGTTTCCAAGATGTAACTATTATAGCATTCCCTATTAGTATTTATTGCAAATATAAACTCAAATATATTTGAAATATATATATCAAATATATCACTTAAGTATTAGTCTCTTAGTCACGTCCAGCTCTTTGCCACCCCATGGACTGTAGCCCACCAGGCTCCTCTGTCCATGGAATTTTGCAGGCAAGAATACTGGAGTGCTATTCCTTTCTCCAGTGAATCTTTCTAACCCAGTGATCAAATCCAGGTGAGATAATTCAAAAAAGAGTTGCCAAACTGATGTTTTTTACTTGGCACAGAAAGTGAGAGAAAGAAAAGCCTTGCTGCTTCTAAATTCTGCCATGAAAAAACATTTTACTCTACAAATACATTTTGTCTGGACTCAAAATGGATTCAGACGTTTTTTTCCCGCCACTTTTAACAGGTTCTTGTGAAAAGTGGGCTTAGGTGTTTGCCCTTTCCATGATGCTATAAATAAGTGTTTTGTTTTGAGTTTTGGCTTGATTATTATCTTTCAAGATAAACTTGTCCCTTTGGAGATAAAGATTTTCTAAGTATACCTAGTTTTTATTCTTAAGGAATACCTTATACATGATGCTAATAAGTTGCAAAGAATATCTCAGGAAACAGACAAATGCATAAACATAAATATTTACATACTCACATGCAAAAACACACAGACATAAACACATTAAAACACACACACACATATTCTTCACAAATTTTTTTTTAGTTTTCAGAAATACTGAGAGTCTATATTCAAAGAATATCTTACTTTATTACGTAGGTCAATCTGAGTCATAGTTTTACGAAAAAAATTAGATCATTACCTCATAACATATATCAAAAAATAATTCTAAAGATTTAGAAAGAAGTCCATTAATATAAAAATATGAAGACGTTCTATACTGTAGAATATATGAGGCTGTTTTATATGTAGAATATCTAGGTGAAAATTTGTATTATCTCTGAATTCAGAGGCATTTATAAACTTAAATATGGGGGGGGGAACCTACAAATTTGATGACTTGATTGCCTAAAAATCAAGTCATTTAGGCATCAAAAACAATGAGAAGAAAAACAAGCTAGAGAATGCATTTGCAAAAAAAAAAGACAAAAGGTTAATATACTTGATAAATTATAGAATTCTTAGGAATTTCCCAAAATATACTATCATTTCATAGAATAATGAGTAAAAATACCAACAGGTAATTCACACTATATAAAATATATTAATTGCTAATGCTACTGATAAACATAAATGCTACCACATTAATAATTAAAAAGAGGATATACTTTTCTCTCTACTATACAGTAACAGTTAATATTAATGGGAATTCAGTAAGATAGACACTGCTATAGGAGTTATATAATTTGATCTCTCAGAATTTGAGACTATGCCTCTCTAGCCATCTTTCATGCAAAGATGGGAACATAAAAGACAGAAATGGTATGGACCTAACAGAAGCAGAAGATATTAGGAAGAAGTGACAACAATACACAGAAGAGCTATACAAAAAAAAAGATCTTCATGACCAGATAACCATGATGGTGTGATCACTCATCTTGAGCCAGACATCCTGGAATGTGAAGTCAAGTGGGACTTAGGAAGCATCACTACAAACAAAGCTAGTGGTAAACTATTTCAAATCCTAAAAGATGATGCTGTTAAAGTGCTGTACTCAATATGCCAGCAAATTTGGAAAACTCAGCAGTGGCCACAGGACAGGAAGTGGTCAGTTTTCATTCCAATCCCAAAGAAAGGCAATGCCAAAGAATGTTCAAACTACCACACAATTGCACTCATCACACATGCTAACAATGTAATGCTCAAAATTCTCTAAACCAGGCTTCAACAATACGTGAATCGTGAGCTTCCAGATGTTCAAGCTGGTTTTAGAAAAGGCAGAAGAACCAGAGATCAAATTGCCAACATCCATTCAATCAGTGAAAAAGCAAGAGAATACCAGAAAAACATTTACTTCTGCTCTATTGAGTATTACAAAGCCTTTGATTGTGTGGATCACAGCAAATGAAAATTTTTAAAGAGATGGGGATACCAGACCACCTGACCTGCCTCCTGAGAAATCTGTATGCAGGTTAAGAAGCAAGATTTAGAACTGAACATGGAACTATAGACTGGTTGTTGCTGGGAAAGGAATATGTCAACACTGCATATTGTCACCCTGTTTACTTAACTTAATGCAAAGTACATCATGCAAAATGCCAGGCTGGATGAAGCACAACCTGGAATCAAGACTGCTAGGAGAAATATCAATAACCTCAGATATGCAGATGACACTACCCTTACGGCAGAAAGAGAAGAACTAAAGATCCTCTTGATGAAAGGGAAAGAGGAGAGTGAAAATTTGGCTTTAAAACTCAACATTAAGAAAATGAAGATCATGGCATCTGGTCCCATCACTTCATGGCAAATAGATGGGGAAACAATGGAAACAGTGACAGACTTTATTTTGGGGGGCTCCACAATCACTGTAGGTGGTAACTGCAGCCATGAAATTAAAAGATGCTTGCTCCTTGGAAGAAAAGTTATGACCAAACTAGACAGCATATTAAAAAACAGAGACATTGTTTTGCCAGCAAAGGTCCATCTAGTCAAAGCTATGGTTTTTCCAGTAGTCATGTATGGATGTAAGAGTCAGACTATAAAGAAAGCTGAGCACCAAGGAATTGATGCTTTTGAACTGTGGCATTGAAGAAGACTCTTGAGAGTCCCTTGGACTGCAAGGACATCCAATGAGTCAATCCTAAAGGAAATCAGTCCCGAATATTCACTGGAAGGAGTGACGCTGAAGCTGAAACTACAATACTTTGGCCACCTGAAGTAAAGAACTGACTCATTGGAAAAGATCCTGATTCTGGGAAAGATTGAAGGCATGAGGAGAAGGGGATGACAGAGGATGAGATGGTTGGATGGCATCACATATTCGATGGACATGAGTATGAACAAGCTGCAGGAGCTGGTGATGGACAGGGAAGCCTGGTGTGCTGCAGTCCATGTGGTTGCAAAGCATCGGACCACCACTGAGTTTCTGAACTGAACTGAACTAAGCCTTAATATGGTCAAACTCTTTGACATTCCAAAATTCTATTAGTATAAATCTATCTGAAAGAAACAATCAGAAATACATGAAAAATTTATGTGCAAAGATTGTCACTATGCTGCTATTGTAATATTAATAAATAGGAAAGCCCATAAATAATGAAATCATTTGTTTTATTTATTCACTTAGCTAGTGAACCTTAATCTCTCCAATATAAATCTTCATACCAATACTAACTCTTAAAACATTAATATATTGTGGGAAATGATAAATTTTCATATACTTCTAAAAGTCATGAAAGATACCTCAGACTAAGTATCCCTGTGGAATAATGATAATCAAGAGACCAATGGAAGCTGGCTAGTTAATTGTACACAGAGAATGAGGAATTTGGACATTCCAATGACAGAGGGGCTGCCTTCAATAAGAAATTATACTGAAGTATGTGTGTGTGTTTAGTTGCTAAGTCATATCTGACTCTAGACCCCATGGACTGTAGCCTGCCAGGCTCCTCTGTCCATGAGATTTCCCAGGTAAGAATACTGGAGTGGGTTGCCGTTTTCTTCTCCAGGGGATCTTCCCAACCCAGGGATCAAACCCACATATCCTTCATTGGAAGGCAGATTCTTTACTGCTAAACTACCAGGGAAGCCCTATACTGAAGTATATCATTACTATGTTTTTAAGTCCATCTCTAAAATAAAATCAAACAATTCTAATATGATGATTGATATCAAAGAGATAAGCTGGAATAAAAATATTATAAATGTAGGTTTTGAGTTTATACTTTCTCATTAATAAGTGATGCTGGACTAAGGCTGCTTAACTTAACTTTCTGATGAGTACACAAATTCAGATGTCATCTTGATTTTTCTACTCCCAGATACATCATAAGTGCTCAGTACATATATTGAGTCAAATTTCTCAGTCTTCTTAACAATCCATTTCAGTAAAATACACTGAATACTTAAAATTACTGATTTATTTATTAAGATGACTGAAAACTCTTGATCAACATCTTTCAAATAAATATTTTTGCTTATACAGCATTATATTGTATTGCTTTCAAGACTCGTTGGGGAAAAGAATATGTCTTCAAATGGTACTTTTATCATGTTGCTCAAAAGATAAGGAAAAAGGAGTAAGGTATCATTTGATTTCTATATCACATATATTGCATACATGTGTGCTTAGTCGTTTCAGTCATGTCTGACTCTTTGCAACCCCATGGACTGTAGCCTACCAGGCTCCTCTGTCCATGGGATTCTCCAGGCAAGAATACTAGAGTGGGTTGCCATGTTCGCCTCCAGAGGATCTTCCCAACCCAGGAATCAAACCCATGTCTCCTGCATTGCAGGCAGATTCTCCACCACTGAGCCACCAGGGGACTTCCCATCACATATATTAAGCTATCTTAAACTGGTCTAACTAATTTGGTTCACATCAAAATTGAGACAATTTTCACTATATATACTTAAAAAAAATATTTAAGGGACTAAATAGCTTAACGGTTAAAAGAGTATATCTTACCTTTATCTTCAATATATTCATCCCAATTAAACATGCTCACTGTCCTATTGAAAGTGGTACCATTCCCATCCAATGAGTTATTAAAGAAAGAAGTGATGTTTAGTTCAAAGGAAGAATTATCTGGGGGCCATTGCAAACATTTGTTTCGCAGGTTGCCCATAAACAGCTGTAATCCTATTAGTGCAAACACGCTCAGGCAGAACACAGTCAGGATCATTACATCTGAGAGCTTCTTCACCGACTGGATTAGGGCCCCCACAATGGTCTTCAGGCCTACAAACAAAATCAAAGGGAGGAATTTAAATATACTATTCAACAGCTATGTTATAGAGAAAAACATCAGGAGCTTGTCCTGGAAAATAAAGATGTCATGCAGAATGCCAACAATATTAGTTTAATGTTTGTGACTGAATAACACTTTCATGAAAAGCCTGCTAGCTGGTGAAAATGAATGAAAGCAGAATTTGTATTTTCATTAGAAAACTGTGAATGGAAACAAACCAAAAGTGTATTTCCAAATACTCCTTAGAGCAAAAGAAATGGTTTTGATATTCATGCTTAAACATCAACCTTGTATAAATACTTTGCTTTTATTTGCAGATGTCTTACTCCCTAACCTCTCACTGGTTTTAGAAAAATCTGTATGAATAAAATAGTAAGAAATCTTGAAGTCACTGAATTATGAGGTTATATATTTGTGAATTCTATCAGCTTGAGAATGGGTTAAAAAAGGAAGACATCTGAAAACTGAGTCCCATGCAGCACTCATGCTATCTCTTGCTCTTTTATTTATCTGAAGTTAACATAATTACCAATTTTAGACCTAAAAAACTGGTCAAATTTGCATCAGTTCGAACGCCTCATAGTTTAGCTTCTATGCAGAAAGCTTGATGTTACAGGACGCAAACCATGTAGCCTGTTACTGCAAATGCCTCATGCAAAAACTTGTTAAACTCAAAGGCTGATTTAGAACTGCTCATTTTAAAGAAAACAACTAGTAAAAGCAAAGAATCAAATCCATCCAAAACATGATGTACTGATTCTTGCTTTTTTACAAACATTTGCAATAAGTGAAAAGCAACAAGGCTTATGCACAAAAGCTGTGATTGTACCACTAATGCTGCTGAAGTCAGCCTCGGTGTTTAACCTAGCTCTCACCTGGAATGACTGAAATTGTTTTCAATGCTCGGAGAACTCTGAAGGTTCTCAACGCTGAGACATTGCCCAGGTCCACAAACTCTGTCACATATCTGTAATAGGGAGTTCACACACAAACACAATAACAGAACACAAGAAACAGTTGGAGATATAAGGGGCCTACCACCTTATACCACTTTCTTCTTACCTGGAATTACAGAAATAGTTTTCAAAGCTCTCAAGACTCTGAAAGTTCGAAGAGCTGAAACATTGCCTAGGTTTACAAATTCTGTTACATACCTGTAGAATTAAATCAGAGTTATTCAAAATTTAGGGAAATCTAAGTTGGTCTTTCAAGACCTTTTCAACTTCAATGAGTGTTGCCATCATATTTCCCAATTAAGAGGAAAATGGCATTGCTGTTGATCATAATCTCTATTACTTGGGAAACATTTTATTGCTTTATAGCACTAATTGAAATCAAAGCCATGTAATTTACTATGATAGTCCCTAATTTCTCCAAAGTGCATAATTTGATCAGAAGAAAAAATATCCTAAATTCACAGGATAACCAAGAAACATGCTTGATCTGTTAAGGGAAGCCACCAAGGAGAAATACAGTATAGGCTTCCACTAATGATTTAGTCTTCCTGGACAGAAAATGTATTAAGGTACTTACGCAAAAGTAATGACTGTGAAATCCAACCAATTCCATGGGTCCCGTAGAAATGTGAAATCTTCTAAACAAAAGCCCCTTGCAAGTATTTTTATAAGTGATTCAAAAGTATAAATTCCTGTAAAGGTGTACCTGAGAGAAAATAGCCAAGCCCACATTAAAGATCCTGAAGGTAACATGTAAACATATTAAAGGAGAAAAACAACAAATAAAAATTAGAGGATTCTATATAGGTCTATATTGGTCTTCCCATGATTTAGACCATAGGTAGGGCTTAAGGGAAAAAAAAAAAAGAAACATTACATACTGAAAGACATTCTCATTGACTATATATGAGTATTGTACTTGCTTGCATTAATTAATTTGAAGGCCCAAATAATACGATTCTATACATATTAAATGAAATACACTGGTTTTGTTCTAATTTAAGCAAGTAGTTACTAATACAAAAATAAATGAAGATTTTTTTGTTTAATAAAGTGTGCATCATTAAGAGCCATGAAATATAAACTAATAAATCACAGAAAAGTGATAGCTATGAGGAAAAGAACATACAAACTATGTATAAATTTATCATCAGATACTAGTAATCAGTGATGATCTTGAAAAGAGTGTAAGACTCACAAGGAAGATAAAGGGCTATACATATCGGCAGTCAAATCAGTGCAGTAATCTGAGTAACTGCATGAGCCAGTGCAAGCTTTGTACTACAGAAAATCAGGGGTTGAAATAAACTTGAGTCATTGTGTAATTGGTTTAGAGTAGCCAGTACAATTTGCTGAAGAAACTGATGAGGTGTCAAGATGATAGAAGCACAATTCAAAACATAAAGGGACAACAATATTGCAAGATTTTTAAAAAATCTTCTACTTACTCCACATTCTTTGTCCAGTCTGGAGGGTTACTCATGGTCATAAATACACAGTTGGTAAGAATAGTGCACATAATGAGCACATTGAATAAAGTAGAAGAATACCGTCAAGGAAGACAAAGGTCAATGTAAACTTTCACTTTCATACACCATTATGTCTTTTAGCATTTTGAAGTTTAGAACTTTTATGACCCTATGATTTTATTATTGAGCTTGCTTTTTCCACTTCCGTAATTTCAGCAACCCCATACTCAAGTCACGTCAGGCCAAGCCATGAACTACTTTGAGGCTATTTATGTCGTTTTGGTGTTGAAAAAGATTAAACACAAAAAAGTGAGTGCACTGGTAAATAATTCATCAATTTGTTTTTCTTTAATGACTCAATGACTAAGGTGCAAGCTCAGCATGTATGAAGACTGACAAAAATTCAAAAGGAGATTTCAAGTAACAGTCATCCCTCACTATCTGTAGGGGGTTCATTCCAGGACGCTCAGGTTTCAAGGCCCCTCTGTCTCCATGGGTTCTGTCTCCCAGATTCAAACCACGGATCTTGAACACTGTACACCATCTACTATTGGTTGAATCTGTAGATATAGAACCCACAGATAAGAAATCCGCAGATGGGGAGAGCCAACTGTAACTGAATGTATTATAATCCATCCTAAGGATAACCTGGTTCGAATATTCTTAATAAAATTCTAAATGGAGTATATAATACACGTGATTGCTCATTAAATTCCAAATAGTAAAAAAAAAAAAAAGATGACTGGTTTTAGTACTGGCATTTCGTGGGTTTGCAACCATGGCCAAATTGCTTATTTATTTCCCTAAGCCTTGGTTCATTTTGCTACACTAGGGAAAAAGAAAAACCATTTCATAGGATTGCTGTCAGGATCAAATTAGTTAAAATATATTAAATCTCTTACAACTCAATGTGCCTTATATGGTAGATAATCAATAAATTACTTTCCTAATTTCCTAAATCATAGAGAACACTACTTACGACAAATATCTGGTTTTTCTCATTCTACCCCACTTTGCCCGTGTGTGTAGAGATAGCCAATGCCTTTCACCCTCCTTTGTGTTGAAAAACAGCAACAAAAAAATTATTTAAGAAAACATTCGGTGGCCAACTATTTGAAATAATTTTCTTTCATAGTTAATAAAAAGCACAAGAGGGATTCAGTTGTAGTTTTGTAAAACGAGAGCTTTATCAAGGTACATTTAGAAAATGGATAAAAATTCCAGAATGAATAAATGCTGTTAATGTCCCTTCTCACTCTACTTTTAATCATAAATCTTCATATCACTTACACATAGCAAAATATCAGCATGATTTTAAGTGCAGTAAAATAGAATAGCATTGTGTTGCCAATGTACTGTGTTATGTATTGTCTTAATCTATAAAAGCCGTTTCTTTGCACCTTCAACTGACTTTAGTCAAAGTAATCACTGATTTTTCATTTTGACTGGCAGTGATTCAGGGCACGTGCTTAATTCTCAGCTTGTTCAAGTGTGTTCACATGAAAACACTCATAAGTGAATGATGTGGATCAGCCACATGAGGGCACTAAAACCTAGAGAACACAGAAAAACACCAGTTCAAAGAAGAAATATTTTTCCTTTCTTGCTAGAAAGAAACAAAAAATAAGATAAACTTAAAGATGACTTCATCATGAGTGTATAAAGCCAGCAGATCCTCTGTGTCTGTTAGGTTACTGGCCCTACTGAAGGGGGCAGCAGAGGATGAGATGGCTAGATAGCATCACTGACTCAATGCACACGAACCTGAGCAAATTCCAGGAGATAGCGGATGGCAGAGGAGCCTGGACGGCTACAGTCCATGAGGTCACAAAGAACCGAACATGACTTAGCGACTGAATAATAACAACCTACTGTAGAAAACAACCCCTCGGCAGATTGGCATCATTCAAAATACATAGTTCCCAGCCTCAAACATGCTCAACACAGTCTTAATATTTCTCCACTTCACTGTCCCCACTACTCTGCAAAGATAATTCCGAATATTCTCCACTCTTCCTTGATCGCCAATTTTCTTCCTTCTCTGCCCATTTCAAACTCATGACCTTATTTCCTATCTTATTGAGAGAAGAGATAGCATCAGAAGGTCATATCTTTACTTCCTAACCCCAAATTGACAAACTCTCTGTATTGAGATTCTTTCCTCCTTCCCATTTCAATGGAGGGAGTTGTCAACCCCTCTACCCAAACTCTGGACACCTTCCACCTTTCCAGAACACTTCAGCAATCTCTTTATCTCTTTCTTCTCTTATCTTTAATATCTCCATTAGTAACTCTATCTGCTCTTATGATCAACACAAACTTGCTTAATTCTCTCTTACTTTTTTGGCATAAAAGAGAATACTGTAGAATAGCCCACAATCCTCTAACCACTTATAGACTTCTCTTTTCCAATATCACAGCCAAGCTTCTTAGAAGAGATGTTTATCTTTACTTTCCTTCATTTATCTACCACATCCTCAGCCTACCAGTTTTCTTCCTAAATATGACAAATATCTTCATGTTGTGTAACTGAAAACAAAAGGATAATTTTGAGTTCTTGTCTGACTTGTTCTCTCAATAGAGTTTGACAAGCCTGATTCTTCCCCTTTTAATTATGTTCTCTTACTTTTGCTTTCATGAGATCCTAATCCTTTGATATTTTACGCTTCATGGGCAACAATTTTTAATATCCTTTGAAATGTTATATTTCCCTTTTTAAAAAGGACAGAGGATATCCAAGACATTTTCCCTCTCTTGCTATATTTATCCTAGTAGAGCTCATTAACACACATAGCTCCAAGTATATTTACATACCTACTGATCTCAAGTATTTTTCTCCAGACTAGCCCTCTCTAGCTCATGGGCTTCTCTGCTGGCTCAGATGGTAAAGTGTCTGCCTGCAATGTGGGAGGCCTGGGTTCGATCCCTGGATCAGGAAGATCCCCTGGAGGAGGAAATGGCAAACCACTCCAGCACTCTTGCCTGAAAAATCCCATGGAGGAGCCTGGTAGGCTCTAGTTCAGGGGGTCACAGAGAGTCAGACACGACTGAGCTACTTCACTCTAGCCCTCTCTTCTGAACTCAGTAATCCATATTACATCTGCACTTACGTGCACTTATTTCATTGACACTTCAAGTTCTTTTGAGTTCTACAACTAAACTAAAAATGTTTTAATCCTATCCCTCTTCTCTTCTCAAATACTGCTCCTTTGACATCTCCGTATCACAATGTCTCATGATTTAGCCAGGATGAATGTGAGATTTGGTCACCTGATGTGAAGAACTGATTCATTGGAAAAGACCCTGATGCTGGGGAAGATTGAAGGCAGGAGAAGGGGACGACAGAGGATGAGATGGTTGGACGGCATCACTGACTCCATGGACATGAGTTTCAGCGAGCTTCGGGAGCTGGTGATGGACAGGGAAGCCCGGCGTGATGCAGCCACAGGGTTGCCAAGAGTAGGACATGACTGAGTGACTGAACTGACTGACTGACTCAGCCAGGAACCTAGGAGCCATCTTGCATTTTTCTCTTCCCTGAACATCCACATTCACCTTAACACTAAATATCGTCAATTCTATCTGCTCTGCCTGGATTCAGTGCACTTTTCCCACAATCCTCATAATACTACCTAGGCTCGGTATCCATCAAATCTAATGTAAATTACTGTAATTTCACCCGAGCTGTTCTTTCTGAACCTATGCTTGACTCTATTCAATCCTTTCTGCACACTGCACCGAAATGACCTTTGTAAATCTAATTTGGATCATTCAACAGCTTTCCACTACCTTAGGGTAATGATCAAATAGCTTAACAAACCATGAGTGAAGAGTCTAGGGGGTCTAATTCTTGTCCACCCTAAGTTCAGCTTGCTTAGTCCTCATTTCACTTTCCCAAGTCTCATATTATTGCAATTATCCTAGGTCATGGAATGAAGCAAGCTCTCTTTCAAGTCAGGAACTTAACGAGTGTTACCTCTTTCCCCTGAATATGCTGTTTACCTCATGTTAGCCAAATCAAACTTTTCCTCCAGCACTCAGATCAGAAGTTATTTTCAGTAAAACCTGTCCACAATAGCATCTTTCCTGATTAGGTCTATCAGAAATATATCCTCGTAGCATCAGATGCTATTCTTCCAATGCCTAACTGATTTTTTTCCCATTAGATGGTCAACTTCATGAGGGCCAACTTCATGTCTATATTGTTCACCACCATACACCCTTGCCATTTTGTAGGGTCAGTTGACTATTGAATGATGTTAGTTTGGAACTTTGTTTACTACTAAGTGAAGTACATCTTTCCTTTTTAGTGATATATTTATAAATATGGATCAAAAATACAGCATGAAATTTGTTTCCACATGTCAAGTGCACAGGTTTCTACATTTTTTTGAAAGAGAGAATACTGGATAAATACAAACTGGAAATTAAAAGGCTCATGAGATTTATGTCACATAATAGACTGAGCCATGGTTTTATGTCCCTTAAAAATTTTACCCCTTATAATGATAAAATTTAAGTATATATAATAAAGTAAAATATATATTTAAACTTTAATAAATAGAGTAAATATTACCCAGTAAGTCAAAATGAATAAGTCATTACACTCAAATTAGTGTTTTTCACATTGAATGACTATCATTTTAATTTAAAAAATACATTTAACTTAACGGTCCTGACAAATGATCAGAAAGGAAACCAAATAAAACTATTTTCCTTTTAAATCAAATAAGAGATAACTAGAGTCAGATTTTTATGCTTTTAGTTTAATAGATAATCTCCAAATAGAGAGTTTCAAAATCCATTACTTTTTAAATCACTATAAATTAATTTTATCAGTCTCATACCTGGAGTCTCATACCTTTAAGATACCTGGAGTCTGGTGAGTGATTGAAATAGTAGGGTTTCAGATAATGATAACAAATATACAAATATGAAAAAAAAGTATAGACATGGTATTGGTGATACCATACACTGAAAAATTATAGAAATTCCATGTCAAGGCAGATTTCAAGGGACCAGAACTAGTAACAAAATGCATATGCTGTTG